ATAATTTCCCGGTGGCAATGGAGCATCAGTCAAAACTTTAATAATTTGTCAGTTCGATGAACTGATGGCTTTTTCTGACGATAGTGCTTTTCGGTTTAGTTTTTTTCTGTCTGCCTCTTGGTCCAGCTATATATTCCTGATATATATATATATATATATATATATATATATATATATATATATATATATATATTTCCCTCTTCATATATACTTTATTGAGTGTCTTCATTTGTATTCCCAATCGCCAACGAATACCTTTTGAAAAAGTGTTGGCCGAAATGTTCCTAAGGTATGACGCCTGTGTTGTTTAAAGCTATGTTTCATTTTCCATGAAATTTCTCGGACATTCAGGCCGGTAAATGTTGTTACAGTTTATAACACTGTTTATTATAAACAGACCATTTACTTAAATATATATTTAAATATAAATAGTATCTATAAAAATAACGTAAAAACATATATTACTTACGTGCTAATAACCTTGGGAAAGGTATTATTCCACTTCTCCGTCCAGCTATGGGTAAATAGCAGGACAGACTGTGTTCTATAGCCTTGGATGGCGACTGGTCTAGGAGAAGGACAACTCTGAATTCAAAACCTGCGGAGAGTCGTTTGGGGGACCCTGTGGCAGGAAGAGAACCAGGTCTCAGTATTCAGGACTTCAAAAAGTGTGGTTGGTTCTGCACAAAGCCTTCACCTCTATAATCAAATCATATGTGCTGGTGTCTGGCTGTCGGTTCCTAGGAACTAATCTGCTTGTACCTCATACGTCGAATACGACGGGAGAGCCCACCATATATATATATATATATATATATATATATATATATATATATATATATATATATATATATATATATATATAGAATATTCGGACAGTTATCTTCGTCTTCCTTGCCATATTCACAACGTTTCGGACGTTGTACGCTTTGGCCCTTTTCAGGTGATTGGAATTTCGAGCCAAAACCTTTATTTCGTCCACCGGGGTAGATTTGGCTCGTTCCACGTGCCATGCCTCTTTCGGATATCTCAGTTATTTCCCTTTAACTCAATTCTGCAAGTTTTTGGTTCACCACTTCTGTAACCTGGTATTGAACTCACAACACTTTGAGTCTAGTCACCGGATCTTACCAACGTCTGCGTGATATATATTAATTCAAACATTATATTTAGTCATAAATGTTTAATCACTTTGTTAAGTTTTCTCAAATTAGCAGGCTGGTAGATGAATTAAACACAGTTAAAAATAAACTCGGCGTCTACTCAAATACAATTACCCACTAAAAAGAACGTTTGAAGTAATAAAACCCATTAATTCTTCAGAATATATATATATATATATATATATATATATATATATATATATATATATATATATATAAGTAAAAAGAAAGAACAGTAAGATATGTAATCCGGTGTTCTTATTGATATTTTTACTTTTACAACACAATGCTCAATGTTAATTTACAGATCATAAATATTATAAATTAACTAATTTAAAATATCGTTCGTTCGAAACACAGGAATTACCATGTTTCAAAAACCGAAGCTAAAAACTTCAAATTTAATTATATAATTAAATTAAAAGCATTAGTTTTGTTTCATCTTCAAGGGAATTCTGGAATAACAGTCTACCCCAGTGAGTGGTTCAGTTCGACATTCCAACCACCTGAAGAAGTCCGGAGCGTACAACGGCCGAAACGTTGTAATAAATATGGCGACAAAGATGACGACAGTAGCCCGAATAATGTAAATAGTGTATATATTGACATAATCGAGATGTTGATAATCCTCACAACTTCAAACAAAAGGAAACCTTCATCAATACTGGGCTTGAGAAAAATATTTTCCTGAAAAATTGTTTTAACAGAAAACAGTGCTGACTACACGATCAATGAATGTCGAAGGTTTCCTTATAAGGAAACGGCTAATATTACCATTATCGTTAGATTTATTCGACTCAATTGAAATATGTGTATGGAGCAATAACCTATACTCCAAAGATCGGCCGATTTTCTGGCCTGAATCGATGACCTAACCGCCGATGTTCGGCGCAGTAACAATGCATCAAAACGTAAATCCGTAATATTAATTCTGGAGCATTAATTCTGCTCCCTTTACCGGTGCAATTCTAATATAAAGGGAGCTAGCTAGTATCAACGTAAGAAAACAGACGCGAGACAAAATAAATAAATAAATAGACATCACTGTAGGTCATCCATTGAATCTAGAATTATCTACACTGTCGTAATATGAGACTAGCTCGTTAACCATAACCCAACTATGGCATACCCGAACTATTTACAAAATTTCTATAAAGCCGCTATTCGATCATCATTTTTTTCGGTTCACTGGTTTGTGTCTTTTTAATTCCACGCTGAACGTGGTATGAACCATATTACAGACGCGAAAACTACACTATGTGATATATACCTTACAAAGCGTACCTTAGCGTACCTTACTTAGCGTACCTTACTTAGCGTACCTTACCAAGCGTACCTTACTTAGCGTACCTTACCAAGCGTACCTTACTTAGCGTACCTTACTTAGTGTACCTTACTTAGCGTACCTTAACAAGCGTACCTAACTTAGCGTACCTTACTTAGTGTACCTTACTTAGCGTACCTTACCTAGCGTACCTTACCAAGCGTACCTTACTTAGTGTACCTTACTTAGCGTACCTTACCAAGTGTACCTTACTTAGCGTACCTTACCAAGTGTACCTTACTTAGCGTACCGTAGTTTTCAGAAATTACTGAAAACAACGTCCTTAGAGATTTCAACAAAAACATGAATTTATATATATATTTGACATTCACAAAGTGATAATAAGTTGCATGCTAAATATGGCAAGTGAGATGAGGTTACAAAGATTGTCCATGCAAAAATTTAGTGAGTAAAGTTTGATAGTTTCAGTTTGTCTGTGGAATTAAAATAGTTTGATATCGACAAGGAAAATTGTCAATTGTGTAAGTTCAATTGATAGTGTGTATGTGTGTGACAAATGCTAGTGTTGATTTAAGTTATCAAGAGTTGTTCACCTTTAACTGATAGGCTAAAGTTGATTGAATGTACAATTACTGTTTTGTAGTGATAATGTGACTTTTTAGTAAATTGTAAGTTTCTTCACGCGGCAAATTGTTGTGCGAGTTGTGTTGAGTTGTTGAGAGGCAGGTAGTGGTTATTGAGTCAGTGTGTTGGCACGCGTGGGGTCTGCTCAGTGTCTGACTGATTGAATTGTCGAGCGATTCTTTTTAATAGATTCTCGAGTTTCCAAATAGGCTCCAGGGACCTGCGTGGGAAAAAGGTTTGTCTCAACTTTGCTACATTTTAGTGTCCTTTTTAACCAATGGGGGATTGAGTTTGGAAAAGTAAAGTGATGATTGGTTAAAGGTTTATTTGGAGAAGAGTCCATCTTCCCGTAAGGGGTGACAGGCAAATGTGGAGGATTCCATAAGGTATTTATAAACAGAAGTTCCGTTACGTTTAACAAAATTATAAAATTTAATTACGATCAATAATATTGTTATGTTAATTTTGAAAGTGAAGGTAAACTATGGAGGGTGCTAAGTGACATAATTTAATGTCTAACAAACGAAAGTGTGAAAACGCTGTTATTGTTTTTATTTTCTCATTTGTTTATATTTATTTATTTACTTTTTTATATATTAATGTAATTATTATTTTAACTTAATTTTTCAAATAAAATCCATACATTTACCTTGATAAAGTCTATAAAAGGACGAAACGCGTTGGTAAAGCAAAGTTTTCCTTTTGTCTTTATTCATATTGTCTTTTGGCAGATTTATTTTATTTATATCTGAATTTTCACATAGAGACAAACAGACGCAGACACACACACACACACACACACACACACACACACACACACACACATATATATATATATATATATATGTATGAGAAGGTGACTATAAATAGTACCAAACACGGGATGTAGAAAACGGAATTGCGGGGGAAGAGTGTATTCACTTAAAAAAAAAATAACGGAAATAGATTTTGCTGTAAAGAAAATAAACAGTTGGGATAAAAGTTTGTACGAAAATAAGTTCCCAAAACAGGAAGCAGGTCTTGTATCTGTAAATGCAATCAGCAAAAACTTGTAAAGATTTTTCGGTTAAAAAAAAAAATCTCTTCTCGTCAAACTTGTACTTGGAACGCCTAATAAACTTTTTTTATTATAATTATTATTCCTATTATTACAAGGATGTTGAGCTTGTATAAGGCTCAAGAGCCACTCAATTATAGAGAGTTACAGAGTAAGAGGAATCACCCAAGACAATTTGATAATGCCACCACGACAGGAATAGGAGGGAAAGACCTACGAACAAACAGGAAACTCTTAAACAGGAAACAAGGGATAAAACAATAATCCTGTTCAAAAGACAGGGTTATTCGTAATGTTCTTCATAAAGTCTTTCCGCGGCGAAGCTAAGTAAACTTGAGTAAAATAACTAAATACTCAACAATTAGCACCATACCCTCTAACATAGTCGAAGGTTTAACATAAAAAATAAAACCTTTCACATATAGATTCTTTTTTTTTTTTTTTTTTTGAGTTTTCAGGATCACTTAGACAAGGAAAAGGAGAAGAATATATTAATGTAATTGTTATTTTAGCTTACTTTTTCAATTAAAATACATACATTTACCTTGATAAAGTCTATAAGAGGACGAAAAGCGTTGGTAAAGCAAAGCTTTCCTTTTGTCTTTATTCATATTGTCTTTTGGCAGATTTATTTTATTTGTATCTGAATTTTCACACAGAGACAAGCAGGCACACACAGACACAGACACACACGCACACACAGACATATATATATATATATATATATATATATATATATATATATATATATATATATATATCCCCAACTATAATCCCCAACTATAAGTTTCACAGATTGAATTTTTACGGCTTATCTACCCTTTGGGAGTTAATTAAAGACGAAACCTATTTTGGAATGTATGAGGGCGCTCACAGTACCCGGCTTTCCTAAGTGGTCACCTATCTAAGTACTGACTGGTTTCGACATTGCTTAACTTTGGTGATCGAAAGAGAACCGGTGTGGTTGTTTTCTTAGCGTGATTCACGAACTCTAAGAAAACAGAATATATGGTAGTCAGCAAGAGAATAAAGATCAAAGTGCAGACTATGAATTCTAGATGACAGCATAAAGAACAGGTTAAATATCTGGGAAGCTTTGCAACAGAGGATAATAAATGTGGTTGCAAAATCCGAACAAGCATAGCAATAGCCAAATATGCCTTCTAAGCAAAGTACTAAAAAAAACAAGATCATTTCGTTAATACCAATGACGCTCGCCTATCGCCCGTTTCGGCCAACAAGGATCGAAGAAGGATAGTCCTCAATAAGACCTACAGGCTTCATTCAGTCGAAGCCATTTTTAACCATTGATCTGGGTATTTTTTTAATTTTTTTTTGAAGTCCCATATTACTTTATTATTATAAAACTATGTGAACATTGCTTGTGGGTTTGCCAGAAGTCATATATAGAAAGTGGGTGAAAGAAAGATGTAGATTTATTATCATGCGAGAAGAGAAGGAAATGGCGTGTTATTGAATTAAGTAGACCACGTGACTATAGAAAAAACCCATAAGTAGGAAGTCGTATGAGTCTAATTGATCGCCGTTTCTATTCTATCCTCTGTTACTATACGGACTGCAATTCTCTATTCTATTCACTATACTATTTCTATATTCAGATCATTATACGGATTACTATTCGAGCGAATATTATCGAGCAAGTACTGTTAGTGCGAGTGTTATTCGAAGGCATCTGACACCAGTATTGTTCAATGGCGTTACTATAGTTGTATCTACGATTACAAAGTCTCTACTACAACGAGCATTACGAAAGTGACAACGAGTATTCGTTGGCATTTACAAAAGTGTCAAACGAATGTTCGTTGATATCATAAAAAAATACCATGGACTGAACATGTGATTAACAAGGAAGTATTAAGGAAAACGGAAATGCACATCAGAAAAAGACAGCTGACATTTTAAAGACACATTAATGAGAAAAAAGGGCTTGGTGAATTTGACACACAAATATCGAAGGCAATAATTGCAGGGGAATGCAACGGATCAACTACCTGAAGAGTTTGTATGATGAATGAATGGCATGACGGCTGTGGGAGACTTGGAAAAGGGACAAATGTTGCTAAGAGCTACACGGAACAGGAGATTATGGTGAGCCATGATCGCCTACGTCCTGAAGGGTGAAGACACATAAAAGGTGTTTCATTAAGACGGATTATATATAAGGGTGTTTCATTAAGATGGATCAAAGTTAGCAGTAAATAAATTACTGGTGTTATGGGTGAAAATTTATTTATTTCTCTATTGAATCATGTCATTTAAGTCATGGCAATTATGTGTGAAAAATAATATCGCCCAAATCTCTGCCAAATCTGAAAGAAAAAGAAAATGTCATTAGACGCTTAAGTTTAATTGACATTAAAAATCGGTCCAAGTTATTGGAACACCCTTTGTAAGACGAATAGTGGTATCTATGAGATCTTGACCCTAAATGTATCCGTCAACCCTCCTTTTTTTGGTGAAATGAATGAGGTACTACGTTTGGAATTCCCGGGCCAGGTTTCCCTCATAGCTAAGAGAGGAGAAGAACAGATACTACAGTTTGATCCCAACCTGAAGATATTCACCTACCGCCCCACGCGGTTGGATGCGGCACAAGGCCAAGTTTATTGTGGGGTATCCGAGCCCGTAGTGTCGACCAAAAATATCCCCACAGATCCCGTAAAAACGGGGTTGGATAGCTATCTACCACCCCAGACGAGACTCTGCTCTTTGGCATAGCCTCGTCTGGGTTTCTCTCTGCTCGGAGGCAGAGAGTTTGACAAGGACAATGTGGAAGACCATAGTGAATCCTGATCCCAGCCTTGAAGACTGGTAAAGGCGCGCCGATCCAGTTTTCTAGGTTCAGGCCCAAGTAAAAAGGGATGACGATGAACGCTGATTTTCATGGTCAGCAACTGCTCTGCTTTTAAGATTGTCGAAATACAATTTTTATAACATTTTTTTTTATTTCGTCCTGTACAGCAAGAAGTCAAGATTAACAAATATGTCTAACATAATGCCAACGGTCTCTTTGGAGCTAATCAAGTTTCCTGATTTTCTCCTGGAACTGAAGTTAATTATGCTTATTACGAGGTGCTATGGAAAATAACTCAACGCTTCCTTACCCTTTATGAGTAGCAAAACTTTGTCAGCTAGCGTGTATATGAACAAGAACACTGTTTCGAAGTTAACTATGAAAACTAGGTATTGGAGTAGGTGAAGAAAATTCATAGTTTTATTTACCGAATTTTTCTGTAGCCTCTTGGATATAAAAAAAATTCCCTGCATAAAAAAAAGTTTTAACCAAAAATTTACAGTCGTTTGTCGAAGGGATAAAAATTATCACCAGTTAAGAATTTGTTATTCCTAAAAGAACTCTGTCGAGAATAACACCAGTTCCTTCCGAGGAAAAGACAAGAACTAGGATAAAAAATAAATTTCAAAAAATTTCAAAAGAGGATCTTGCTTGAAAACAACTAGACTTCCTCTTGAAAGATGGGGATGTCTTTCTAAGAGATCAAAGTATGAACTGGATTTTGATATACAACAAGAAAAAAGATATGATATTCTCTAAAAAATTACAAAGAGAAACTTAGGCATTAAGTAGGTCTACTTGAGTCTGCAATTGTCTTTTTCTGCGAAATGATATACAGGATTACTATATATATATATATATATATATATATATATATATATATATATATATTGTGTGTATTTAGGCAGCATCTTTTCATTCAAAAAAATTTACAAAAAAATAATCTATATTATTTAATGAAACGTGCATGAATATAATATATATATATATATATATATATATATAATACGTAAATATATATATATAATACGTAAATATATATATATAATACGTATATATATATATATATATATATATATATTTATATATATATTTATATATATATATATATATATATATATATATATATATAATATAAAAGGCTCAAGCAATAATATTCCAAGGTTATAATTTATTACATTGGAATAGTAATCACGATCCAATTCGTCAGACCTACAAATTAAAAAAAAAGATTTCTTTTGAATTCGTAGTTCTGATGATTTGGATCGTGATTACGATTCCAATGTAATAAATTCTAACCATGGAATATTAGTGTTTGAGCCTTTTATATTATATTCTTGCTCTGTCGTGGTCATTGAGCTCTACCTGGATTCTATCCTCCTGGAAATATATATATATATATATATATATATATATATATATATATATATATATTACCATGTTTGATACATATTCATTTATTCTGAGTACTTTCAAAATTAGCACAATTTCGTCATCAGGAGGTTGCTTATTTTTCTAAGAAAAAATTATTGTGTTTTTCTGAAAGTTAAATTCTTGCTGAAAATACAACTAAAATTTTTCATGAAAATAATAAACATAAACTAAAAATTCTTGAAGCTATCCATATTAAAATTTGAAACCTACCCTTAAGAAAATTAATTATGAATACTGCACAGATGTTTTACAATGTTTACAGTAGACAGTTTAAATTATCTAGGTTTTAAGTAATAGTTTTTTTTTTAAAAAAAAAAACATATGGATATTTCAAAACTTAGTTACCTCCCCTGACGTTATATCATGAAATTTAAATCTTACATTACATAACCTTAGCGTTTTTGACTTCACAGTTAAAAAATTAACTTTCAGATGACTCACCGCTTCCTGCTCGTGGAGTACGTTCTCGCGCGAGACACAGTAGATGAATCTGACCCGTTTGAATCTGGAGTCCTAAACATGACTTCTCCAGAAACACAGAAGAATCTCTATATGTAAGCCCACATCGCCTTCTGTATCCATACAACATTAATTCAGGAATAACATTCTCTTTATAATTCTGGCTATAGGTGATCATTTTTTTCACATTTTTCTTTAAAACTTCTTTGAGGCACCAAGATAAAAAGGAATAATCGTAGACTTGTTTAAAGGCTTGTAGAAACAGTGCCAAGACGAAATAGTTTACATATGAATTGGCTACAAGGCGAACTTAGAAGGAAATGGCTTGTCAGGTACTCTTTGAACAGTTAGACAGGAAAATGCAGGCGTTAAGTCAGGCTCCTTGAGTTTGTAATTATTGTCTTTTCTGTGAAATTATATAGTTCAGCTTTCCCATTATACTAAGCTTGTTAAATACCTGGGGAAGAATTCTCGGCCCACCTACCAAAATCTGGCAAAAGGATCAAAGATTTTTTTTTTTGTTTGTTCTTCTTATTCTTACTTTTTGTCTCTCTTTTTTTTCTTTCTTTTTTGAAAGGCTTTTTAGTCAGACTGAGAAAATTCAACAGCCAATGGTCGCATCATTTAACTTTATTTACATAATGGATCAGTTTTCTATTATAAACATCGAAACCCTCTAACACAGCGTTTCTCAACCGGTATGCCCGTGTGCACTAATTCGCCCTGAAAGGTATCCAAGTGCTCCCCAAGTTAACAAAAGAGTAATATATGAATTATTTTTATATTTTAAAAGATCTTTATTTCTAAAAAGCTACAAGCACATGGCTTTCATATCTGTCAAGACTTTAGCATTTGATATTTTGAACTGAATTGCTGACTTCCGTAATTTTTTTGAGAAAGAGAAATTAGTCTATTCTATTTTTCTTCCACGAGGAATTTAAAGGAATAACTACCGACCTTTATAAATCCCTTTAAAGGAAAAATGTAGCGCTAATCTTCTTTGGGGATGCTAAACTCGAATTTCACAATTTAAAATTTCATGACTTTTTTTTTTATTTTTAAAATTTAATTTGCGCCACAGTGTATATTGTAAGAGTGCGTCCGGAAGTAAGAAAAAATGGTTGAGAAACACTAGTCTAAAATATTCTCACAAAATTGGGTGACATACACAGAAATAGTTAAAATACAAAGACATAAGATGCAGCTGCAAAGGACAGAAATTAAATAAAAGACTACGTAATAAATCCAGAAAGGA